TACAGTGTGAGTGGCTACAATACTAAATATTCCTCATACCTAAGTTTCACTGCATCAGGCATTGAAGGTTCGCAGCTTCCCAGCAGGTTGAATCATCGTCCAGGTCCTTCACGAATCACCGTGACATTTATCGTCGTACCTTTCAAGACAACGAGATTGGCGAAAGAAATAACCTCCCACCCCCGAGTGTGAAATCGTATATCATAGTCACCAAGGCTCCGATTATAATATACATTAGTTCATAAAACTTTCCTACATTAGAAGAAGCAAGTTGTTGGTATGCTCACTTCAAAAGACGAATAGTTCAGTAATCCTGCTAACTACTGACTTGTAACACTACAGCCAGTGACTTATAATGTCATGTTGTTAATCGCTATTCGTGTGATTCCACAAAATGATCCATCTTTGGTACCGAACTACTTATGGATTTCATCAACCGTCAACAGGAATATTCTCCGGCGAAAATGAAATGTCACACACGAATATAGTGATTGTCTTTTACAAAGAGAGAAGTAAGACGTCGAATGGCTGTCAGGCACCGGTCCCCAGCGAACGAATTTTGATCAGGCGATAGGTATGTTGTTCGAACGCACACACGAGATTACTTGCGGGTCCAAAAAATGCGATAAACCGAATCAGAACACTACAGATAAAAAATTAAACTTACTTCAGTAGAGGCTGACTAACTGACTAACTGACTAACTGACTGACTGCAGCTGACTGACTGCAGCTGACGGACTGACTGACTGACTGACTGATTGACTAATTAGATAACGGGAGATATACCTCTCATTTGGCTATTTTGTATCTGACTTGATAACTTAAGAAACCAAGATTCGAAACTCAGAGTTTCTCCTTCGTTGCTTTAGGGAACTTAAATCAAATTTATGCAGATAAATGTTTTTACCCTAATCGGTTTTAATTCTTACACTTACGAAATTAAGCGGGTTTCATATCAGCGCAACCGCATGCTCTTTCTTCTTAGAGCGGCATTGTGGATAGAGTAATCAGAATGGATGTGTTCACTGTTAGAGTCCGGGTATTTCTGGCATTTGATAGCTTCGGGTTGAAATTGAGCCATCGATCGAAACAGGTGTACTGCTGCAAATACATTCACGTAATTGCATCGGTGAATCAACTGGATTTCTCTGCATGCTGTGTTTGCTGAAGGTGAGTATTAGGTCATAGGATCAGTGTGATATCGATCAAACCAATGCCCTTCAGAGCTGTACAGCATGATATGTAGCAGGCCGCACTACCTCGTCGCAATCTCGAACTGTTCGTCGACAGCATTCGAGGTTTCGGTTATTCCTAAGAACATTACCAGTGACGATACGCGGTACCGATTCCCTATCCGGGCGTATTCATCCCAGTACTCTGTTCTGCAGTTATGTGTACTTGATTTCCGTCTGTGGCCTACATCAATAATAATCTAGCGATCAGTCGAGTGACTGTTCTGTGGGACATCGAAGCTTGCTTCATATGGACTCATTCAGAGTAATTTTAGATAATAAGTCAAGTGTTTGCTACATGCTCCACGCACATCATCAACAGCATTTTGTGAACGACGTTGAATTCAGTGAACCAAACTGAAAAATCATATCGATATACCACGAACTGGATTTTGTGCATTTCCTATGGAATTACCAACGTTTTGACTGATAAAGATTTGGACATCACAATGGATACAAAAGTAAGTTGTTCCGTCGACGGCACCAATGCGTCGTCCGTAGTTGTGTAGAATATTGACTTGTTAGTTGCCTATCTCGTCAGGATTGATTTAACCACACACAGTTTGGAGCATTCAGACCTAAAGTCTAAACTGCTAAATCACCGTCAATCAATATGCACGGATGTGGTCAATGAGTTGCATTGCGCTACCCGTGTGGACAGAAAATTTATTGGGATTACATCCTCGCTCAGTAGTGCATATATCAACTACTAACAATTCAAAACATCTACATCGTCCACTACACATATACCACCCCCTAACTTCCACCCCACGGGTCATTCGTTCAACTCGGCGGTTCAGAAATGTTGGCCGGAAAAACGTGATCAGCCAGGGGCTGTCTTTGAGTATTATTGTATTTTCCCCTTGTTGCTTTATTGTTCCCTAGTTATTTTTCCTGGCTTACTAAAACAGGATTTCAAAGTCATACACTGCGGTCTAACCCTTATTGGACGCGTTTCTTCTGTTCCTATAAATGAGTTAATTGTGACGCTTTCAGAGTATCATACAACTTCCTGGGTGGAATTTGTGAACAGGATTGTCACAGATCTTGGGCGGTTGTAGCCCGGGTGGTAATGTACCCAATGATTCCCCCACCTCCCCCCTCCCGGAGGACGACGAGTGTTCGACTCCCACCATCACTGACTGTCTTTCCCCATTAAATGTGTTCTCTGGCAGCCCTCTGATTGACCGCTTCCCCATTCCTGAAAATTGTACTTTTGTATACTCAATAAAAAGAAGTAAGAATGAAAATAAAAAATAAAACACCCGTTGCACGTAGAACTGACACGTTGTCGTTCCCATTCTTCCGGACTCTCCCAATTCTGCCAAACTTCATCTCTAATAAATTCTCGGTTTTGGGATTTCTCTTTTGCTTAACTTGAGCAGAATTGTTCTAAAGCCTAATTCCTATTGAAGTTTCACACACGAATAATTTCACTTGATCAATGTGTACTATAACAAAGAAAACAACACTGTGAGTAAGTACGACTGAATTTCGGAATCATTTCGCTGAATCTCAGCCGGTGTTTACTGAAGAATATATACCACAGTTGGTGATGATCTAAAATAGTACCAACGCGAGCTTATGAGTTTGAGGGCTACATAAACAACCAGTCCATCAGGCCAGTCATACCGAACACACATCGCCGATCGATCGCCATATGCTACAGATTGACGGCTATAGACGAAGCCGATCAAAGGACTTCGTTTTCAGTTTTTGCCAATGTTTGTAGAATTCATAAGAATCAACTGTCGAGAGCCGCTGTTATGTCACCAAAAGGAGGTCTATATCAGTCTGGCATGAATCTGGTAATCATGTAGGCAGAAAAAACGAATTGATGCCACGTTAGGTCATCAACCATAGATAGTGATCACCAGACGAGACGCAGCAAAATAATTCCGGAATAAAATCGTGCTCACTTGCGGTGTTGTGTTTCTTTTGTTCACGTTTATTTTGGAAAATAATTGTTTCAGTGTCCACGTTCATATCTAAACTTTTCCCGGGCACAAGATAGAACAACAATCGGTACGAGTAGCCCTATTTCAGGTGCTTAGTTCGGGACCCATGTTGTTTTTCCAGAAAATATTGTGCCAGTATTTCGTGTGTCTTTACTGAGCAATAAGCTTCATAAAGGTCTCCAAAACAGCATGCCTAAGGGGGCAGTCTCTCGTATTACAACAGGATGTGCACAGTTAACTTCTCTCCCGGCAAAACCATGCCAGACGATTTCAATGGACAATGCATTATTTTGCTCCCCGATGCATTTGAAAAAATGTATCACATTCTCGAGGAAAAAAAACCGGAACCCCTGTTGTTTGACTCACCTCATTTGGCTCCCAATGCCAAATATCGAATGTCGGTTTCTTAAGGTAATCAATTGTGGACTGGGTTAGGGTATACTGAAATGAATAGAGGAAAAGTGCACTCCCAAATCAATTTCTATTTCTGTTCACAATGGTCTTTGCTCATGCACCAATGAAGGAATATCCAGTATAAACCTCGTCAACACAATTAGCATGAAGCGAGCGTGCAAATGGAGTAAATAGTCCACATAAAGTAGCAAATTCAAACATTTACGGTATTGCGAAAGCAAAATATGATATTTTAACGAGGTTTCATTTCCATCTGTCACCAAGAAGGCTTAGGGGCGTTAGGATCGGATTGCCGAGCCGTATACAAGCGTTCGAGGGTCGAGCCAAAAGCATCTATAGCCTAGAAACGGAAAGCATTTATGCATTTCTCACAATATGATGAAAAAAATAGTGGATATGCAATGGTGTAAGAGATTCCGCTCCTTTATGAGCAAGTAATTCGGATACAGGGACAAGATTTAAACAGCAACACATACAGCCCGAATCCCTTAAGACTCCAACCCAGGTACCAGAGTTTACTGATCCAAAAAGCTAATCAGTAGGGTTGAGGTGCCTGGATAACGCGTTAGCAATAATCAATTGCTGTTTCTGAAATACCGAACGTAACCGGACAGAGATCAACTCCTTGTTGATTGATCATAATCCATTTCAGTGAGCTAACTCAAGGTACTTACTTGTTGTCACCTAATTGTGTTGAACAGTTAAACACCTTCCGATGACTGGTGGATAAATAAACTCGATAAATTTGCAGTTAATAGAATTCAAGTAATTGAATGAAAACCATTAACTAATGAACTACATAAAAGATCATTGAAATGCGTGGAACTGGAAATCAATTTCCTGTTCAGTCTCGACTGCAATGTGTGTTCTATGAACAATCAGGAGTTTATCAGAAAACATAGGTAAATTATAATGAAAAAGAGGATAGAGGTACAGTGTCAATTAAACAAACACTATTTGTTCAGAAATTTGACAGTGAATTTAGAACTGTGCAACTAATATTCACTCAAGACAAACTCTAAATGAGATTTGATTGGTGGGTCTGGTTTACCCGCGTTTGAGATGGTTGGCACAATGGCACAATGTGTTTTTCGGAGTCTGAATCCCAGGTGGATGGACCGTTGTGTATACGTAATTGAGCGAAATTGAAATCTGATGTATCCCAGGTGTACAACTGACTGGAACAAGACTGCGCTCATGGTTGAGGTTCAAAGAATGGTGAATTGTTTACATCGAGATCATCAATGAGTTTTCAGAGTTCGGTCGTATCATAATGTATCGTATAAATAATTTGTTTCAGTGGTACATGGGACTCTAAACGCTACCAAGGCGATTCACCTTCGCCGCATAAGATTCTTAATAAAATTATTGCATGTTCAAATGAATTAAATACAACAGTACCGCCTAATTAGCCCTTTTCTTTCTTCTGATGCAATCGCATTGGTACCGATACAATCCAATTTGGTAGTGAAGGTATCATTTCCGGATGTAATCATAACTCCAGTATGTGTCAAAAAACATGAGACCATCGATGCGAAAACTTTATATTGCATCCCTATCGGGTTCGATTACGAGTGTCCTAAGGTTCAAGACCTTGTTCAGCATTTCTATCGATGAGGTTTGGTCGTGGACGGGAGCATTTTGTACAGTGAAAATAAATATTGTGAATCCCAAATCCGTGTCATTACGAGACTTTGTAATCCAAATTTGTCATTTAAGGTGTACCATTACCTTCGATTTTGATAAATCAATTTATCTACTGTAATTAGTGGCTTGAAAACTTCGGTAGATTCGTGCGAAACTACAGCGTATGAGGTTTGTCGTGAATTTTCAAAACGAATTCCCAATGCGGATGATGTGTACGGCGATTGTGAGCAAATCTGTACAGAATGAACTATTCCAAGCACTTTAATGACATGTCATTCATCATTAGTATTGCAATATCTGATAAACCGTTGGGCGTAACCACTATCGTTGATGATGGACCGTGCGCAGTGACTTGGGAATCGTACGCGCGAGCACGCAGAGCGTGACACAAATCCCGAAATGTTACAATACCTAACGCGTCTAATCTGGAGCAACATACAGCATGCGAAGTGGCTTTCAACCCATTGAAAAATAGAGTTGCTTGCCATTGTTAGATTCCTTAAAAGCATTTTGGTTTCATGGTTTAATGACCAATTGGGTGACAAAATGGTATCTAACCGGCGTCATTAACTTGATTAAAACATCGAATCAGTTTACATATTTTAGTTTTAAGGTAAGGTTTATCGTCGCTCTCGCTGACCTTGGCAGTGGTGGAGCAATTTGAACGCAGAGGCTTCGAATCCAGTTTTGCTCACCTATAACACCTTAAGGCTGATCGTTCACTCTAGGTTGCATTCTATTCGACAACTACCCTTTCAAGAGTTGAATAGTTGCGAATGTAGAGAATTGATGGTTTTGCAATTGACGTTTTCCGTGCCTCGTTTTTCCAAGTTTTCTTCATCCTTGACACACAAATTCATCTAGTCAACTCTAACATCTATGCCGGTTTGCTTGATCCTCGTCTGATGTCTGTTACGTCATGACTCAAATAACCTGTCTGACACGCCACTGGAACTTTCGTTCAGCCGATTCGGTGCTATCATATTGCGACCCCCAGAAAGTCAAGTCCCGTTCACCGTACGATCGATCAGTCTTTCATCATCTTACTCTTGAAGGCGCTTCGTTTTATCTAATAGAAATCTGCATCTATTAGGGTGATACACCCTATTTGTGGTAATACCTATCTATCCAAGTTTCGCTTTGTACCTGAAAAGTCTCAGTAATAACAAAAACCCTGCCCAGTGAGCAAAGTTCATATTTTACAAACCAATGTCATTTTGGTTAACCGGCAGCATTCTACCGGGCAGGAGAGATAAGCAAATAGCTAGCCAGCGCTGTCCTAATACGTTTTATTCACATCAACACAGATTTATCTATTCTGTTCACCATTCTATTTGAGACGAGTGGTATGGAGCATTGTAAAAGGTCTTACACAATAAAAGTGAAAATCATCAAACGTCTCAGTAGAGCGTGATACCGGTTAAAACGTTGTATCCTTTTCTTGCTCACCGTAGCATGCATTTCTTTGTTTTTCTCTCAAACATGTGCATACGCGTGCGTGCGAGCGCACGCGCGCATCGTTCTGTTTGTCACACAAACCGATATACATACGGATTACATCCACTTGATGGTTTGTCAATACGCGAGAGTATAGACACTACCCAGGTTTGCTCGTTGACAATATCTTTTCTGTGGACAAAAATCAATAACACCGCAAGGTGTAGGTGGGGAACGCCTGGTGAATGCTCACGACGGATGGCCAGGCTAGTCAGTTTCCCGATCTCACGAGACGGAGTATGAATCTCGGTACCCATTTTTTCCATTACATACGAGAACTCCACTGATGTTAGCAGTTCGGTTTGTGCTTTGTATCAAGTTGAAAAAATTGCCTTATCGATCTTTGAGTGCATGTTCCATTGTAAATGGGTGACAGCAGATGAGGCGTGTAGCACCCAAATTCAATTCTGAATGGAAGACTCCTACAAAACATCCTCACACGAGATTAATGACGTACGAGGAGCTATGGTGAATGCTTTCCAATCCACGACAGCCTCTTGCTTCATGATATGTTTCAAACAAAGATCTGCTGTATTTGTGGCAGATGCCACTTGTAATGGCCTTTTTTATATCTGCCGCCTCCTGCCTTAGGAAGAACACAAGTCACTGAACTGGAGCTATCTGAGTGTAATTGTGTCAAAATGATTTACAGCACTGACGGATGAAATTGAGATCAATAACTATGAGGCTTGTCAATAATGGTGAGGTCGATTTCGAGGCCGCCCAGTCACGTGCCATCCGATACGAGTGAGCTGTGGCATGATTTGGGCTCTGATCACACATGCCTTCTCAGTTCTCTGGATTATTCATTATGCCCCACTGGTATATAGGATAGACAATGTCCGTTTGAATGATTGAGACCTATGAGTACTTCTCCGCTAGCTTTGAATAATTCTCACAACTCTGCGCTTTTGCGCACTCATTTTCTCGAACCAGAACATCCCTAAAAGCCGTGCACCGTTTAGTCGTCATACTCCTATTTTAACACTACGTCGGTTGACAATATATGCCAAACCACTCACTATGACACCATTCTGCTTGATTTGGACAATTGGGTAGCATTCTACAGACAAATATTTGATTGATTGCCGTCTCACAAACAACTTTTGCACTATGATTCATTTTTCATGACCAATTATGGTGCAGTTTTTGTGTCTCCTCGCACTAGTCGGCGTAGAACCAATTTCGCATTTCAAACCAAATGAAGAAACGCAATATGTGGTTTCCCGCTGTGGCACGCCAGCTCAGNTCAGTAGCAACAGCAACCTTTTGTCAAATCCACTGGGAATCGAACTCAACTACAAACAGTTGTAAATCCGATAGTCTCGCCCAGTGGATTGTTCAAAATTTCCCTACCCCGGCGCACCTCAATACCACATCGCATAGTCCCCAGTCTGAATCATATCCGGATCTGATGCGTTATTTCAATCAATTAGCTGCTAACACTGCAAACAGCAGTTTGTCGCCTGATGAATATCATGTACGATAACTTCACACTTTCATTCCTAATTTTGGAAATTTTATCATCACCTGATTGGATTGAATCAGAGAAACCAAACGGGAACTGAAATGCTTAGGGGGATTGTGGCATTTTCAGTTCAGTCGAGCCGGGTGCAGTCGGTGGTGCGAAAATATACTCTGCATCATTCAACTAACAGCCCGATCGAACCACACACTTAACTACCGAGCAGCTGGTAGGCGATTTCCATTTCCCCGTTGCCTTGACGTCTAATGCCTTACTTATTTCAACATGGCTTATGTGGCTCGTCACTAAAAGTCTTATGAAACGGACTGTCACTTTCCACAAAACATATTGCGAATAGCAAACCTCTATTTCAGCCTCAATTCAGCCTGCAAGCGATTATTAATCGACCGAAAGCATTCCAGCCTTGTTTGTTTTTGAGGGATAGATGAGGCGGATAAGGATTTGTTAGCCATTTGTGTTGGTCGTATATGAACTATTCAATACGCCCAGATACACACATCAAACATGTATTCGTAGGTCCTATGTGACGCATGTGGTATCCAAGTTATACGTCTAAAGACATAGTGTCAGATGATCCTAACCATATTCATCATGGCATAATTTTGTTGCAATAATCTTTTGTTTGATATTATTTGTTACTAACTTACACAAACACAATCGTGGAGTAAGGTGCATTAGAGAGATAATTTGAATCTGACGGGTTTTAACGGTGTGGTTGTATGCAAACACATACACACACGAGCCAATAAAAATTGAAGGGATACTCACCTTCTCAAACGGTTGCATATCGTCTAACTTCACAATTTTGATTCCATCCGTGTTCATACGCAGATAGCCGGGAAGCAATTTGTCCATACCACTGTTGCTGGGGCAAAGGCAGGATGAATAGAGCTCAACTCACGAGCATGTAACTAGCACAACATAAGATAGATTCATCACATTGGTAGTATAACAGCATTCGGAATTTTTATTGCAAAATGATATTCGTTTTCATGGATATCAGATGCCAGAATAAACCTGTTCTATCATTAGAAAACAATTCCAAAGGTGAATGATTGCTTTCAAATGATTGGTGATCGTGCCAACACCACCATTATCATCACCATTATAAAGCATGATACAGTGAAGCCAACTCATAATGCATACAATTTAAGTGAGAATGTGTAAGGAGAATAAGTGTTGGGCTTATTTTTAGGGACGGAAAAAGAAAGCGAAACTCTACGGTCAACACACAGAGTACACCGTCCAACTGTGCATAAATACTATTTCAAGCATTCTGGTCTAATAAGAGGTGACAGGAAGATCACCACTGCTATCGGTTTGCTGCCGTGACCTTCAATGTCTCCACCCATCCGGTTTGGAGTCTTTTGGACGCCAACTCGGAAGACGAGACGGTGAGTCTCCACGTGAACAGAGCAGACCGCGCATGAACTGAGCAGCCCAGAACGAACTATACAACTGCTTTGATTAACATCTTTTCCCATCAAGCCTCAGCCAAAACACACAGTCCTTTAGCCTCGACCCGTAATCACCTAGCCTAAACCCGAATTGCTTTAGCCATGACCCATAGTCCTTTAGTCTTGACGCATAAACTGTACTCATATCGCTGTGGATGAATCAGGTCCAAAAGTATTGGAGTATTCTGAGGTGAACGACTGTGGAAACATTTTATTGTCTACAAACGTTGCTGTTGCAAAGCTTGGTTCAGAAATAAGAAAATGTGGGGGTTGCACACTGCACCATTCAATAAATGGAGAGGATTACACCGATGTGTCCGTATCGTCAAAGCGTTTGGCACATCTCATACAGTTTCACTACTTCGGTACACCGTGCGATAATCCTATGAGTAAAACGTTCAAGTGCAACACAAATGGTACATTGTTTTGCATTCACAAGTGAACTCTTTTCATGAGAAATGAATACATAAATATGTCGAGGATAATAAAAACTGTTTACCAAAGTGCACCTTCATTGCTATCACCAGTGTATTAACGCTGCAACATTTGACATAACTACGACTCTCGAGGCTCAAGAATTACGGGTTCTGTCTATAGCTTTTGGGGAAATGGTGTGCCGAAAAGGGGTCTTTTGTGAACAGTGTTTTTAATCCCCGACCTGTTGATGTATCCATATCTCAAGAGCGGAGATCAGTTTAAGTGTATACACGAAACGGTAAGAATTTTACTTTTCTGATACCATTTTTTGATTTATTTCAGGGGTTTTGAATGCAAAATAACGTGCCATTTGTGTTATATTTGAGCTTTTACTCAGGATTATCGCATATTAAATGGAAATATTGAAGCTGTACGGGATATGACAAATGGTTTGACGACACGGGCATATTGGGTAAACCTTCTCCATACCTTTCCTTTTCTAACCAACCCTGGCAACATCAAAGTTTGCAGAAAATAAAGCTTTTCAACATCCGTTAACTTCCGAATATTCCGATACTTTTTGATCTGACTCGCTTACTGCAGAGTGACTAAAGTTAGTGCGTCGAGGTTAAAGGACTACGGGTCGTGGTTAAAGCATTTCGGGTTTAGGCTAAACGATTATGATTGGTAACTGGTGGACTGTGGGGTTTTGGTAAGGCTTGGTGGGAAAATTTGTAGTTCGATCTCATTACCAGTGTACACCCATCAATCTAGCGGAGAATAGAACCCGGGGCTTTACCAATAAAACGCAACCAAACCACACCTACTTGACCCCGGAACAGCAGATCAGAATAATGTCCCCTTTTTCTGTATACCAGCTTATCTCAACACTAGCCTACAGGGTGATGACTAGTTGAAAACTTTTGTTTTCTCTTTTAACGTCCAAGTGACCATCAAGTTGAATCACACTCTGCACTACTCACATCTGGCAAGTAGTGCACTTCAAAATAATTCCAACTGACTCATAAACCGGAGGCTGGTGCTGAGATTGGCCACCAGCGTCAGTGATTAAATGTTTGTGACCAGTTAGTTGCTTTTTGTGCATTAGCTTGGGGCAATATGCTCAGCAGGGGCTTTGTTATTCGAACAATTCTCAATGTCACCAGGGTAGCAATCTCTTTCATACTTGATGGGCAGTGAAATAGGGATTTGGGGGCAAATTTAAAGAAAAATCTATAACTGTTCCGTAAAATCTGTCCCCCAGATTCATATGCACCACATTCAACTGTACACATTTGAACAGTGTCACTAAAAATCTGGGCGATTTTTCCTATAAACCTACGGGGTTATTGCAACGTACATAAATTGAACTAAAAATGTGCAATGTTTGTCGCATATTGCCTCACAAAACATGCTCNCAGAGAGAATCACATCGATGCTGATCTCATCAAGTTCTATGATGGATTGACTCACGTTCCCGGACAGGAGCTGAAAGATTTTCGTTGCCACACATGATCTCGCAGCTCATGCATTTCTTTTTTCAGTCTGTCCAGCTCGACCAGTCTTTCATTGTCAACTAAAGCGCAGCAACAAGTAAAACAACGTAAGTTCAGTGGGTCATGGAATTGTCAGTCAATTCGTCAGTGTAACAACAACAACAACAACAACAACACATTATAGCATCAATGTTGGTTTAGTCAAACATCAGAAGAACGAGATCTTTGTTCGGGCACATTCGTCCCCAGTTTAAAAAAACGACAACAATTGCATGACAGAAAAAGCATGGGTTTGAAACATTTCAATGAATTCATTAGGTCAATTAGGTTTATGCAGTTTATTTTTAATGCGCAAGGGATCGTTCCTTCACCTACTTTCCTTCCGATGATTTGGTGGTATCACTTCTATCATTTGAACATTCTCTACTGGGTTATGAGAGCTCAAGCCGATGATCACATGTGACAGGTAATTCGTTTATTCGATGTCTCACTAATGTGTCTTGGTACTCCGGATAATCCCAGTGATTGTTAACGCACTGGAGTTGCGTAACGCAATCAAGCGTTTTTCACTTTCCTAAAATCAATACAACCTGTTGTCAATTCATGTAATCTGGAAAGTGGGGTGGTGTTGAGCCAGAATACGGCAAAGATATCCCCCCTCCCCCCGGGAAAGAATGAATGTCTTTTTAGAATAACTACTTCAAGATATGAGTGATTTTTGAGACCCGGTTGGATGATCACTTGTGGGGGGGGGTGATCGCGCGAATATCGAATGTGAACTGTTTATTCCCGAAAATCGAAAACGATCGAGGAGGTAGAGCAGAGTATCGTCGTGCGGTGCGAAAGTATTCCAACTGCTACTATTCTTGCTATGCAAGCAGCAGAATGTAAAACATATTGAACAACCTTTATAAAATAAATATGCGTTTTTTAATAATATTTTTATCGCCTCCGGAATTTTATCTCCGCCGTAGTTAGCACGATCGTCCTACGCGATACACACCAGCTGGTACAATTCCAAGAAGAGTTCCGTGTTGGCCTATATTAGTGGATGTTGTAGTCTGTAATTAGGACAAGTTCAAAGTTTTATGATGATTATCCGTTTACCGAACCCGCGTAGAAAAATAGTGCGTGTATTTTAGACGAGTCAAGCGTTGGCCCAGTGTCATCATCGCTTGAACGTTTTCCATTCCGAATTCCCCACATGGCTCATCGTTCCATAACTGATTCTCCTGTGGTGATTCTCTACCATCACGTAAGCAGCATTGGATTTAGAACTTATCCGCCTCCCATGACGACTCGACAATTACATGACTGATCGTATTTCTCAATCGATCGGTCGGATAGTTCAGCCGTAACAAGGGCTCCTTAGTGAGAAACCACACCTTGTCTACATCAGCGAGTCTGTACCAGGCTCAATGAACTTCGACTGTACAGAAGGCGTGCCATCACTACACGGATGGACTGAACGTGACAACAAGAGCATCAAAAGTACAAGATAATGTGAACCGATAGAGCAATCGCACTATCCTACTATCCACATAAGAACATGACATCTCAAATTGATATTAGTACTTATCAAATAGAAAAATCTCATAGATACGCTGTTAATGACATTTGGGGGCATGGTAAATCAGGTTTCCCATTTAATGCCATTCTACTTGTTGCCTTCTGGCTGAATCGACTCTACGTTGAATCGTGCTGGAATACTGATAACGAACTGCGTGTGATACGAAATGAAATGATAGGGTTGGCCATAAATTTTAAAAGGCAAGCCAGGGAGGAAAAGACTGAACTTTGTAAGGTTCCCCGATTCTCTGCGTGTCTACCTGTTCACTTTGTTCTGCGTGAACGAAACTGTATACAAAACGCCTACGGACGTGGTTGGACCATTGTGAATAATGTGTGATACCTCATGGTTGCTCGTATAGGGCAGGAATCGGTAACTGTGGTAGTTCCAGTGAGGTTCGAATAGCTATTTTGTTGTCTACCCATCTCTATGCACCCCACCCTTGAAATCACGGTAATCAAAATACAGGCAGACCGTGTTCCACCTACTGAGTTATGACTGATGCCATTACCATTCTGGGGATTGCGGTTTGCGAATGACCGCTTACACACGTGTGTGTGTTGTGTGTGTGTGGGGGGGTGGGTGGGTGTTCACGCATGATAAATAAACCGATCGATTGAATATCATTGAAGAGTGTTTCAAAATTAAACCAAACTGTGCGTCACGAACAACACTTGATTTCAGTTAGAACTAAGTGACAGATATTCTGATATTAGGTTAGTTTGGAATTGTTTGTGGTCAGCCTAGCGATTCCTTGAATTGAAAAACCACGAGACAATGTACATAATTGATTCAAACTTGTATTGATCATAGCTATCGTGAATAAATGCAACAACAAGCGACAGAACAGAAACAGAATTCAATTCTATAAAAAAGTATTATTTATAGCTTTGGAATCAAACGAATATATTTGATCGGATAGAAGCAGATGATGCGTATACTTCGTCTCCACCTTCGAGGTTCCGGGTTCGATTCCACGTAGGCTCAAAAAGTGCGAATCTCTCCGTATCATTCAAGCTGTCAAGATAACCTTATCGGCGATGACAAGCACAGCAATTTCTGGATGATCACAATTCAACAAAGACTTTTTTAACCTCCCGTTGAAGAGCAGGAGAAGATTGTGAAGGGTGCCTCAGCCATACACACCAAATCCCATGACATATGTTATTTTTTTTTACCTCATTCGTACGAGTATGTGTTTGCTTATGTAGGTGTGCTTGTTCCCCTCTCCCTGGAAAGTTCTATCAGGCCATACTCAGCTAACACCGATGCTTGAGCAATGGCCTTCGTCCATCGAATGATGCTGCAACCGGGGTCCATGAGCTATATCTCAAGCGTCTGCAATAAATCATCAATCGATCACGCTCGCTTCATTGTTGACCACATTACCATCCAGTTTGTTAGACACTTTCAGCTTAAATTCCATCTCTGTGATATCACCACAGAATCACCTTCGTCCAATGAACAATCAGAATGACCTTTTTGGTCATATATCCGGAAAGCAACAGGATATCTCCATCAAACCAACTGCGATTGAAATAACATAACGAAAGTTTTCTCCGTTTATCACCAGGACGAATTTCAATTTGCGGCTAATTTGCGTTAGGAAGTGTTTGTGATGGATCGGTATTTGAAGTTGGTAGTACTTGCGGAATATATCTGTTTATTCATATTACAGACACTTGGTCGATTTAGTTACGCCTTTCGTGAGAAATTGGAGCTTATCTTGCCTGCCGGTCACCTTACAGTCCGCGTCGTTAAAATTAGGAACTAGTAATGTCTGTAGACGTATTTTTGAGATGATCGGCCCCAAGCGCTCTAAAGAAATGCAAAGAAGCACTTAAGTTTACGAACCACGGTGAAAAACTGGCTACTGCTTGTTATAATCTGTATACGGATCTGAGTGCCTATCCTTCACGGCCTTGTTGGACTCAACGGAGATCACCAATTCACGGTAAGTATATGACAACCACCACGTTCGTGTCATTTTCCTCCGGAAATTCACACTCAGACCACCATTCGATGTTCATAAAGATCGATGACCGGTTCTATTATTCTGATGTGTTACGATGCTGTCAAGAAGATGCATTCATGAGTGCTCTATCGGTTAGACCACATGGGCTGTTCGACAATCCCGATGGAACTCTCATCGACAAGACAAGAAAGAATTACCGTTCGAGTTTATCCGAAAGCACCAAACAGAGTCATACGGTTTGAAATAAACAGATAGTTTCCTGAATCGGGCGCACAAACGCGAGCGATTGACCAGATTGGAGACCGAGTATGCTCTTCCAATCAGCTCACTCGAAAGAGGAAAGCCATTCAAATCATATCGATAAAGTCAGTGATATTCATAGTTTGCGATCAGTGAACCCAAATGAGATAGACGATTCTGGGTAAATGATTTGATTTAGAGTCCACTGGTATCTAGGCTTACTGTAAGATGATCAATCTGAGAATATCATGTGTATTGATCAAATGCATCATTCAATTCCTGCGTTTGTGCTCAGCATCGCTGAAATCGAGTTGTGTCTGTGTCTTAGAACGCTAGGAAGATCGGGTATAATCCCAAATTATTGGGATCGCCTGACATTAGTGTTTTTGCAGCTTTTTGCTCGTCGATGCAAATCTTTCGATCTATTGTTGACATCATATGTCAACCACACGGACAGGTGTACAGATCGACAAGATGTTATCAACCAGTTTGAATAATTCCGTCGAAACAAAATATTCGCCCAAAAGGTGAACTTTGTAAATTCTGTTCCGTCCGTGTCTCATTCAAACAGTGCACTAAACTGATTATTTTGGGTAAAAGTCAATAGCTGCATATACGGTTTAAAAAACGGTGTTTCCAGTGCTACTCTGTTCATAAAACTCACTCAGAATTCTGCTCTCTAAACTTTTGAATCGTTCATTGAATTCTGCTTTCACGTCCGATAATTTTAATGAACTGTTTCGTGAATTGCGGGGAAAATGAATAGAAAATAGAAATATGTGCTAAAAAGATTACTGCGTTGCATTTATTTTCAAGTTGTTATATCATTTGTACACATATTTATCTAATCAATCAATTGGGGCTAATTCGAAAAAAATGAATCAAACTATTTGAAAAGATATAATCATTTTTTTTACTTGAATCGTGTCTGACTGGAATAAGCTACTAAAAATGTCCTGAAAGCGGTTCTACGTATATCTCTATTAAATTCGATGTGGTATGTATGTAGTAATTCCAAAATACCCCTCAGCACTTTTCCATTGATGTTTTTGGAGGTGTTGGTGTTGGCAATGGTGATGATGATGACGGTGGTGATGTACTAGGGGCAGGATAAAATGTTGACAAGGGCCTCAATATCTGACACTATTCTATTTTCTGTAGATTCACGCACTTCAGTTTGTCGTTTTTGACACAAAAACATCTCGCAATTGAAAAATAGCATCGATGTCATCGGCAAAACTTGGTTTGATTATCTGAATGTCAATAACATTGTTCCTCGAATCTGTTAGCCGGGACGCTAGTTTCCAGGGTTTGATTGTACGTTTCAGGTACACAAATACAGAAACTAAATTTTGTTTGCTGTTTTTCATAATCAGTAGATTATTTTAAATTCAGAAGAATCTGATCTGTCATCAAATAAGAAACAAGCCTTGTATTCATCTCCACATGCGTACAATCAGGTATCGTATAAAACAAACGTTTAACCTATTCGATATCCTTTTTTGGCCCTGACGAGGATCACATTGTGGGGGAAAGAACGACTAGTGAACCGGGGTCGTTAATTCATCGCATAAAGTTGAACACTTTCGGACATTATTTGAGTTACAAATAAACGCGGTGGATGACCGGTGTAAACGTCACCAAATTATCACCCCAGCGATGTGTGTTCGAATCGCACCACCACCACCACCTCACGTTTCCTAATGTGTTGAATGACAGCCTTTGATTGGCCGCTTTCTCAGTCCTAAAAATTATATCACTGTGTATTGAATGAAAAGAAGTAAAATGAAAAAGAAACAGAAAAGAGCTGAGTTACATGTTGGGACCTCAAACGCCCTGTTTTCCTATGATCACTTGAAATAGTTTTGTGTTCAAAGCCCAAGAAGGAATGATACCAAGTAGTGAAAGTGCTCAAAAACATCATTTTTGCATGACTTGCGTTTTTGGATGCTACTTAAGCGATTCGTAGTATTTGTTAAAGGAATGACAGGCCCTTGACGAACTTTTCATACCGTTTTCCCCCAACCGAATTGGAACAACGATTGCATGTGAAATCACACTCTTATTCACCTTCGAACATTTCTAACGTAACTAAAGACCCTGATCCATATGAATCGTTGCGGTTTGCGATCGGTGATAGTTGATAGTAGAATGTGAATTGCTCGCGCAGAGCTCGCTTCATAGCAGTCAGCAACCCCGTTCGAAGTCAACCGTAAATAATAGCAGAACATTTGCCACAGGGCATGCATGTATTGTGCCAGGTGTCATCCAATGGAAGTACATGCAAACCATACCGGAATTGATAATGACCAATCAGAAATACCAGGTTGGTTTTTTGACAGAAAAGCGATTGGAAAATCGGATTGATGCACGTGTTAGAATGTTCATATATTACGCATATCTAAAAAGTGTGTCGCGATTTGATTTGAAATCACGATGAGGTAATAAATGGTCAATTGATCAAGAGAAATCACGATAACCTCTCTAGAGGTCCTGATAGGTAGACAGTACAACAGTAGGACTAGTTCACTTAGCCGTGTTATTCATGATTGTGTTAGTAGTAGTAGTTGTGTTAGTAGAAGTAGTAGTAATAGTAGTAGTAGTGGTAGTAGTAAGAGAAGCCGCAATGTCAGAAGTGAAAATTTAAGCAGCAACAAATGTAAGTGGTGAAAATAAAAATTGGTACGAGGACACTTACTCATTGATCTGTTTTGTCAGTGATTCGAACAATCGACCCATCAGAGAAATCTCATTCACTTCATCAGCCGGCGAGATGCTGACCATAAATGCGGACCTGCACGCGAGTGCGTCGGTGAGACAGAGAGATAGAGAACGCACGCATCAGATCAACTGACTGTTTCAATAGTGTTTGTACTGCACTCGCGACAATAAACACCACGATAAACTGGATGCTCGCCGAAAAAAATTCGAATTTACACATGTTTAGTCAATGTTTAGCCAGCAACGAGTATTTTTCCGAAGTTGCAGATAGGCAGTTGTTCCTCTACGAGGCTTACAGATACTCATCCGGTAGGACTAGTCGAGAAATTCTGAAAAATGTTTGTTTTTAACTTGTATCTCCTTCATTTTTCCGTCGTCTTTTAGCAGTAACAATGAACCTTGAGAAATAGTTGGTTATTTTGTTCCGTTTTGGTGAACAATATTTTCAACATTGATGAAAATCTGGTTTGGATTAGATCGGATATTGGACTATGCCGCGCCCAGTAAGCGTGAGCTTAAAGGATGATGAGCACTATGGCTAAGCTGCTCCGATCCGTTTCATTATCATCTGCAGTGCGAATCCAATAACTTAAATGTGGTTGGATACTGAGTCCCCGCAGGCAGAATACAAGTCAGTATCCACTTGACCCGGGGGTCATGCTAATCAGATGTTTCCCCTTTTACTGGTAAATGAAACATTCCAATCCACCTTTGTTTACGAACGATCTCTCTGATCTGGGCACTCGCCTCCCGCCGATTTCACCGATAAAGTGTTGATTGGCTATTGGCGAAATCGGTTCAGTTTGTACCGGTAGTTCTTTTCTTTGATTAACTGATAACGCCCAAACGTGTCACGATAGAAATCAATGGAAATAATCAACGATCAAGGCGCCAATTAGAGAAATTATTGTTGCATACAAAATCTAGATATCTATTCCGTTCCCTGATGGCTGAACTTTAAAAAAAATCTAAAAAACGTTTTTTGTTTTCAGAAGATTCCAAAATTGGTCTGCTCTGTCAAAGTTTCAACCTCGTATTGGAATGATAAATACAATACTGCTGGTGGAAGAATGTTCACTTCACGAAATCAGAACAGTCCACATACGATTCGGCCAAACTGCCTATAGTCTTGTTTACTATTCACAAAGTGTCATGAGATGCAATCGACGCACTGCAATTTTATACACGATAGTCAGTGTACTTTCAGTCACTTGTGCAAGAAAGCAAGTATTTGATATTAGCGTCATTTTGGTAAGATTGAGAGGCGACAAAATGTTATCGGTGTGTTGGATACTGAGAATTTCCTTTTCTGTATATCAAAAGCATTCAAAAAAGTAAATTCTACCGCCTCCGGACGGAAAGTAGCACTACCATGATGCCGGTACTTGCCTCTCTCTGGAGAACGGCTTTCTGAGCTAAGTGGCGAGCCACTGGGTAACGTTATGTCGCTGTCTATGTGTGTGAAGCATTCGTTAAACGGATTCTCCTTAAAAGAGACACGTGCATGCATCCGTAGGAGCATGGTTTGGTTTGAAGGCTTGACTGTGAGCAAAAATGTCTTGGAGGACTGAACGTTATTGAGAAATGCGCCTTGAGAATCGTACGGACAGTCAGAGGAGATTAGATCGACTTTTTGCAACTCAAGTTGACCAGATATCATTTCACAATGTCTCGTTCACCGTATCCGCGCGGACAAGCCCACGTACTCTGCAAGCCTCGCAACAATGTCTGGATGACTACCACGCAAAACAGATGTTTTTACCTCCCGTTGAAGAGCAGTGGAGGGACGATTGTGAGACGTTACTCGGTCTCACACACCCCAATTCCCATGATGTGCATATTGGTTGTCTATTCTGCTCGTCTGTTTGTGTGTATTCGTCCCCTTCCCCCTGAAAAATCAAATCAACCTATGCTCTTCTGACACCGATGGATCGGGCGCGATCCACGCTGGAGCCGTGGCCTCCATCGTCTCATGATGCTGCAATAAGTTCCATGAGCTACACTTCAAGTGGCTGCAGTACGATATCAATCGATCATGCTCAATCGACGTACACAGCATTGTTGACCAGGTTACCATCCAATTGTTTTGACACTTGCAGATTATATTCCAGTTCTGTGATACCACCTTAGAATCACATTCGTGAACTGAACAATTATAATGACCATTTTGGTCATGTATATCCGGAAAGGAATAGAAGATCTTCATCAAACCAACTGCAATTGAAATAACGTAGCCAACGTCTTCTCCGCTTATCATTCAGACGAATGTAAATTTCGGGCTCATTTGTTTTCAGAGATTGTTTGTGATGGATCGGTATTTGAGGTTGACAGCACATGTAGTGTGCATTATTTAATTTTTTCTTGAATAAATTGATCGTCCCTTGATTAAGAAACTTGAAAACGTCAACCGAATAGACATAAGAAGATGAGTGCTAAGGTTAGATTGCAGACAAGGCAAACCATCAAATTAAAGCTAAATTTCCAATTTTTTCTGCATAAAACCTTCGATTAACCGTAAAATGCAGGCCTATTCCTCGTGGTCAGCTACTGGATGCTTTCTATACGTCTCAGTAGCGACAACCTTATCACGTCTAATTCCCTTGATGATCTGATGATATACCATTATCCGAACGCAATTACATTGAGGAAAACAACTAAAGCAAGACCCCATAACTGGCTCGTACGTGTCACATTTATAAAATTGTATCAACAACAGTAATTTTGCTTATCGTATTCGCCCAGATCAAGTGAGACTTCAAGATTTAATTTATATAGTAATTTATCATCTAGTCTTGTCCATTTCAAAGAGAATCAAATTCTTTTGGTGTATTCAAAGCCGGATGAAAATAATTAACAAAAAACTGAGTACTCACACGAGATAGATGAATGGAACGGATCTCACTGAAAAACTTAGGCGTTGTGCTCATTATTATTGAGGAAATCAGTTTATCCTACCCTTGACGAACATAAAAACAAACCACGTAGTCTATGGAATATGCCATCTAGAATGTCCTGTAACGTATGTCGGTTATACGTCCAGAAGCCTGGACAAACGAATGACTGAGTACATGCGTCTAACGAAGAAGATCCCAAATGATGCAGCAGGTTGGAATCGAGTGGGACGTAATTCCGCAATCGCTGGCTACGCCATGTGCGAAGGACATGCGGTTGATTTCAGAAACCCGCATATTCTAAAACGTGGGTCCGGAAGTCACAAGGAACGTTTGGCCGTGGAAGTGCTCGTGACAACGTTGAATCTACGGCAAATAAACAATCCTATGAAACAGTCATTTTACAGTTATGGCAACAGTTGACACTTGTGCATAAACAACCCGAATGCCAAATGACCGATTCATGCGTTTTGACCCCAAGGTCAAACCAATTTCACTCGTCCCAACCACCCGTCAAACCATCACTAACACACACACACACGCATGCTCGAATTACATCAGAGCTGTACATTACGTCGTCATCCCATCGTCTTCCAACGTGAGATTAACCGATGAAATGACTAGAGAAAGGCTTATGTTTTGGTGTTTTTCGTTCGTTGTGGCTAAGACAAGAAATTCACTTCCGCGATTTGATCACCTTGACCCCTAAAGAGCTGGATACTGCCATAAAAACACGAAGGAAACAGATGGTTTGTTGATCTGTGTGCAGTCCATCCAGTGCAAATTATCTGTCTGTATATAAGCATTGATTTTGTATAACCCCAGAGGCCATATTCTTTGTGTTAGGGCCAAACTGTGTAGTTCTACATCTCTCCGAAATAAACCATTTCGTTTTGACAATTTGCTGGGAAAAAAGAAAATTGCTGCAACGTAAGAAGCCCACAGAGGCCCAATCATAACAATCCGGGTGAGTTACCATCAGTGTGCAGATATATATATGTATATGTATATGTAATTGTTGCGGTTAGTAGCACCTACTCCACTTACAAAACATCGAATCATATTATTGATTCTTCATTGGACTGGCTCCTAAAGAGCTGTCTATCCAAAAATCACCCGGTGTTGCAAACAAGATTATTGTGACAAAAATACAATTCCTAGCTACAGCTATCTGATTTCAATGACAAAATATTACCTGACGAGCGGCAAGAACCGCGAAACCGGTCGTGTGCTTTCATGGAAATTTTGTCTAGCCAATCATATACTACTTATTAGGGTAAATATATGTATCATGCATACTGGCACATAATATTTCTGGTCTGTGTATGCGCGTGTGGATCTATACACAAACAACAGTGGAACATTCCAGGGCCAGTCTCTTTTGTGTCGAGGAATAAATAGCTGCACTGCGCAAAAGTTGATTTCTGTTTGTTCAAAACCATTTTATTTTATTCAGGTTGGCAATTAGTTTATTTTTGCTTATTACGGGAATAGCCATATAGCTTGATACTGAAAAAATTAACTAACTCCGTTTTCCAAAAAATGAACAGAATCTGTTATATTTCGACCCAATAAAAGTACATGGCTTGGATTTGTTTCCACACCGAACATATCACGTGAATATTCAACAAAGGGCGGACATCTATCTATCTACGGATAATCAGGCGAGAAAGGATGTGCAAAGTTCGGTAACCGGGTTTTTTCTGGGAGAAGGAGAAACTCGTGTGACCGAATTCACGAGTTGAAATGAGTTATAGACGTATCGGTTGATGCGTTTGTTTGTTGCGTGAATTTGCTGTAGCCTCTCAGTATTGGCGTTACTATCAGGAGACTCATATCGACGACACACGTTAGAGTCAAGAAACCAGATAATTTGATTAGATACAAATTGTAATGAATGACAACTCAGTTTTCATGTCTTGTTGTTCGTGCACTCGGTCAGGATAGCCTATTGCGCGAAATTTAAGAGATGATCGGTTATGCGCGGTCGAGTATGCTCTCTCCTATCATGGAGGTTTTGCAATCACTTCTGGGTTTTCTCAGCGAACACTCTAAAACAGTACATGACACTTCACACAATTGAAGTAGTTGCGTTTGACGGTGGCTAATCTGAGACTATGGGAAATCTGGTCTAATTGTTTCGCATTGTCAATCCTTCAGAAGTGGATCATT